CCTCTACCTGGAGAAGTGCGGTCGCCCAGCCGGGGAGTGGAGCGAATCGGACTTGGGTTTTTCAGGGCTCAGGGTCGAGGATCCTCGACAGTATCACCACGCGTAGTTCGGAAGGTTATGGGGACAGAAGCCATGAGTTGAGTTGCAGCCGCCACCCTTAAACACTGAAAGAGTTCCTGATGACCGTAGCAAACCGCAACACGCATACTTCGGGCCAGCAGTCAGCGCAGCAAGTTTCTCGCATGTCCTTGAAGGTCGAGGCGAGGTTTGCGCCCCAAGTGTTGAAGCAGGGTTGCCATGTACGGCTTGAATGATCTCCTCTGAAACACTGGAACGGGACTCACCCGCTGCAGAGTCCAGTCTCAGCTGAAATCTCCACCAGCAGCCTTGTGCCCAGAACCTTCTAAGACTCCACTTCACTTTGTCATAGTTGGGAAACATTTTACATGTTTAAGGGTACTTAAACCCAATAAGGAATATAAGTTCAAATGTTTTAATACTACCCCAACCATGAACTAGTTCAGTCCTGCCCGCAATTCTCAGTCGCTGTGCCGGCAGGAAGTACAAAACTGAGGATTAGGCCTGTCAGCATTTCCGTCCCAGACTGCTGTCCCTGGTGTCAGAGGCATTCTTCGGGGTCCTCAAAAGTACTCATATGACAAGTTAGGTTTCTGAAACTGGGTCCCTGAGCTTTTAATACAGATTCCACAGTGCTTGCACTTCACCTTCCCGGGGACAGTTCTGAAGTCAGCGTTTGAATTTTTGATGGAATCCTTCTCACACTGTTCTTCGCGATGTGGCGGTCTCGTTGCAGGCTGATGCCCTGCATGTGACCCTCAAAAAACTGTGCTGCGTGGCACTGGGGACGCTGCGATCAATGAGATCGCATCATTTCCCCGATACCGTGAGGCCAAAGCTCAGTTCTGAACAGAGGCAGTTAACTAGCGCAGGCTAGTCTTTTTACTGTTTGGAGAATTACTCAGAAGCATGTGTGCAAGCAAGCATAACTGCATCTGCACCATTCCGTCCGTATGCACACATGCACATGCGTAGATGTGCCAGCCCGTGCACACTGACACTGTAAAAGAAATCAAAGAACACAACAGTCCGTCCAAACAAGCATGATCAATCGTGTTTGCATGATATGCTCAGTGGGCAAGGAACCGTTCCCTTCGATGTTATTGTAGTTGAGAACTTGATAGATCACAACTGACCATCATTGTTGACCACTATTGGTTGCCACAGACGTTAGAATGTAGTGTTTTCCAGGGACCAGTAGATACAGGAGACGTCGCAACTGTAGGCTGTAGTTACAACGCAAGCCCTGTGGAAAGCAATGCCTCGCACAAGCATCTCATGAGCCGCTCTTCTTGGCATCCCGCGTGATTTCTCCGGATGACGAGCGCTCTGCAAAAAAGGCCAGAAAAGGTATCCTGCCCACAACAGCTTGCAAGAGTCTCGTTAGTGCAGCCCTGAGCCGTCCCAGTCTTAGATTCTCACCATCCTAAGCCTTGCTAAGTGCCCAGGAGGTCGACAACTCATCTGTTGAATGCCGAACTACTCAAGGGCAGTCTTGAATACATGAGAGGCAGCCAAAGCCCAGAAGCAGCAGAAGAAGAGCAGGAACCTCACTCTTATCAACGGTTGTGTGGAAGAGGGTCATTGAGTGGACACGCAGCAGGACTTGTTGAGCCACAAGCCCGATTGCCTGCCCACCCAATGTTAGGTGCCGACAAGCCTTAGCCCTCCTAAGAATCAAGCATGCAAGAGCGAAGCTCCAGATTTTTCAGCCTTGAAGCTTGAGTCCTAGCACCCCGGAACTCCATCCCTGAGCTACAGCTCTCGGCCCCCCCCCTACGCAGCCATGGCAGATCGTGTCAAGAGCACACCGAGGACAGCTGGTCCTTGGGGTTTTAGGTTTCCCCCCCCCCCCAAGCGCTCAACTTCTGCATTTGGTTGGGGGAGACATGCCTGCGCTTTCAGGTGTGGTGCACCTCGTGGCACTCGCTGGGTTGAGAGACCTCGGGGGTCTGCTTTGACTCCTTAGAGCTTGTTTCGCTTAGGCGCTGAGTACCCTAGCCCAAAAAAGGTTAACCTTTTCATTATAGTAGGATTATAAGAGCCCCAGAAGGTTAAAGGTTACCTACTCAGCCCCTAAGTTTGGGCTTCGTTGTACACCATCGATGTCCCAGCGCTCGAATGCCACAGAGGATGATGCTGTCACGCTTCTCCATGTCCAGAAGGCTCACAAGGCGTTTGGGCCCAGATGCAATTTCAAAGAGGCATCCTTATCTAAGTTGTAGAATTGGGTAGACGAGTCGCTACATGTGCCCCCCACACATTCGAGAGGTTTTTGAGGAGCATGGCTTCTTGCTCTTAGGGGCCGAGTAGGTAACCCTTCAACTTTTTGGGGCTCAACAAAATCCCCACCATAACTAGAAGGTTAACCTTTCTTGGGCTAGAGCACTCAGGCCCTAAGTGTTCATGTCTCAGGCAGCAAGTTCAGGGTTCTGGGGCGGCGAGATTGTTGTACTGGCCGACGTGAGCTCGCGAGGTTAATACCAGGGGCCTTAATAATTAGAATAGGGTTTAGGGTTTAGGGAGTTGTGAGAGCGTAATAATTAGAATAGGGTTTGTGGGTATGTTATACTATAATTACAGTAAGGAACCTCCAAATCCCTATTCTAATTATGAAGGCCCCTACATTATTCTGGTCTGAATCAGCTTGGGCAATATGCAGCCAGCAGCCAGAGCGGCTCCTGTGAACAAGGGTGAGCTTTGATGGCAAAGAAAGATCCGGCATACCAGGATTGTTGAAGATTTCTGAACAGGGCCTATATCCGCAGAGAGCTTTTATTAAATCGAAAGGCTAAACCCTAAACCCTAAACCGTCTAACTTCATTTCGGCTAAGGGAGCGCCTCATGTCCGTGGACGATGCAGACAGGCCCGAGGCAGGCGATCGGGGTTGACAAGGGCTGTAGGATTTACACTCGTAGTGTTGTGTAAGAGTAGGTAGTAGTACATGTAGTGGACCTAGAAGCAATAGTAATTCCAATAATGCTCATAGTGATAGTCATAGCGGGAAGAGTAGAGTAGTACATGATAGTAGCATGGCGGATCAGAGCTTAAGTGTTGGGGTTAGGGTGTTGGGGTTTAAAGCTCGAGGGGTTCAGGGTTCAAGTCTGCGCGTTTTGGTTCATGGATTTCAGAGTTTGTTCTTCTTAATCATGTATCATAAATTCACCGAGTGGGCCCTGTCTCGGCAGTGAGAGAGAGATAGAGGGTTTGTGTGCGTGTGCGGCCCTTTAGATATTAATTAGTATTGTAAGCTTTTCCCGAACAACCACTAACATTTTTAGTATTGTCAATACTACAGGTATCACTACGATTGTTCTTATTAGTAGTCTTGTTAGCATAACTAGCATTATCGCCTCTATTATGATTTTTGCCATTGTAGTGTGAAACTATCACTATTAGTATCACTATCAGTACAAGTATTGTTTTTTGTTACTGTCTATCATTATTTGTACGGTTCGTACTGTCTTTGTCAGGCATCGGCTTTTAAGCAGTTGCTCTTCGTAGAGAAATTAAGGCACTCAAGTCCCCCCTTGGTTTTGTCCAGTACATCTAGTCGTGTCCTGGTATGAACGATTCGTGGCTGGCGTGCAGTCAGACTCTGCCTGTGTCGGTTTCGATGAATGAATGTTGCCCTAAACCCTAAACGCTGATTTTATAGCTCGATCAGGCCAACAAGCTGGAGTTCGATGACGAAGACCTTGAAAAGAGGCGGGGGGTAGCCGTTTATGCTTCATGCCCAGCCGGGTTTCAGCAAGCCACTGATGTTCTGAATATAGGCTAAGTCGCGTTGCAGTGCACGATGTCCGAAGGGATGACAGCCTCGTTTTTCTTTCTGTTCTGCCAGTTGGCGCCGAGAGGGGATGCTCCTCAACATGAGGTCAGTGGCTCAGAAAGACAGAAGGATCCAGATGCTACTGGAGCCAGCCGTGTGTTTGACCCTTTGTTCGATCACTCGAAGGCGGCCAGTCTCCAAACCCCGTGGACATGTGCAAGCGCAAAAGACCACCGAAGCGATTTGCATAGTGTGGCATATGCGCGTTGTGACATGTATCCCCCCTTGAAGACGCAGCTTGGCACAGCTAGCTGTGTAGCTGATATGCTTGTTCTCAAAATCAGTCAGGCTGACCTCGATTGTGCAAGGTCTTCGGCTTGTTGCCGCGCCTGCTTTTTGAACCCCAACCAGCGAGACGCCTTCAGCCGCCCTATGTCTTGATGACTTGCGAGCCTTTCTGATTCCAAAGTTCCTGTTGAAGCCCTGCGCTGGCAGATGGGGCATCTTTGTCGCTACACGATGCACCTTTCTTTTCGGGCCCTAGACTCGATCTGAGAGTTCGGTGTTCATGTCTGGCTTCGTAGTATTAATCGAGGCACCTATACAGAAGTCTTTACAGAATATCACAAGCTATGGCAGAACCAATAGGTCCCCACTCGTATGTCGGGGAAGGAGAGCTAATGTGACTTTGCAGCTCATCCGAGTGGTGTTTCGTACTCTCAGCCACGACGTGTACCATGTGGTACCTTGCCAACATGAGAAGGCTTTACTGCATAGCATGATGCTCAGAGGTTGTGACCGAATCTTCAGCCCGAAGTGAAGCTTAAATCGCAATGGTTTCAACCCCACCCACAACGACCGTACCGACTTTTTGTGCATTCATCCGAAACTGCTCGAGACAGGGTGCCCCATTCATGTGTTGTCCTTTTTCGAGCCATCCCCGAAGAGATCCAGGGCTTTCGATTAAGCTCGTAGGTCTTATACAGGTGGTTTTGCGATATGCGATGCGCTAACCCAGCACGCACACTGACAAAGAACAGCACCTGTCCTTCTGGCTTGGCGACGGTCCCCTTAAATGATGTGTCTGTCATGTTAAGCATGGTTAGCAGGGCTCGTTTATCAAGCACGCGTCACTTGTCAGAGCTGCTCATGGCCACGGAAGCTGCACAAGTGCCTCGGAACTTGAAGCGGACGAAAAAGAGTGAGGGCGGGGCCCACCTCCACGTCGACACGAAATCCAATTATCGCTGGGAGAGCATTTCGAATGTCCACGTGAACCACTCTGCTAGCAGGAAAGTTCTGCTTCTCGACAGGGGAGACCGTCCTGTGGTGGATGTCCCGGTCAAGGACGTCACGGTCGTCTCTGCTTCCGAGGAAGAGATCCAGGAAGCCCTAGCATCTACTGCCACGCCTGTCACAGAGGTAGGTGCAGGCCAGGATCTGGAGGATGCGGACTTAGACTATGCCGATGCCCAGGATGACCTGAGTGCAGTGGAGGAGCCTGACGTCTCTGAGGAATCCGACTGGGTCGAGGGCTGTGAGTCCGACCAGGACTCCGACGAGTCCTTCCACCTAAAGCCCAAACGAAAAAGGCCGCGAACTGGGACAGGGGCGGGAACCTGCAGAAAGTCATGGCAGCTCAGATGTGGTAAGAGCTTCCGGTCTCTTGTGCAAGCAGCAGGACGCCTGGCTAACTTTAGCAGTTCTTCTGGTTATGCATACCGTTGGCCTTCGCTGTCGCAAGCCTCGCCACTGTTATCTGTATCTCTATACTGTTACGATAAATACTCTCAGTATTCGACAAGCTCATGTTTAAGTTGTTATGATTGATGTTATCATTGCTATCCAAACCTATCTGCCATATTTGATGTGATTGTTGTGGAACTGGCAATATGAAACCCGAAATTCTGAAGCTGCGCCGGGACGCTACAGAGTCGACACCAGCCCGAAACCAAGAGTCCTTATGACATCACCTGCTCTGCACAGACCTAACTTCCTAAACCGTCGTTGAGGCCCCTGAAAGCCCTTTTAGGACTTGAGACCAGTCAGACAAACCCGCAGACCAAAGAACATGCTTCGCCTGGTGCGACCATGGATGCGAGAGAATGCGGGAGACAAGAATAGAGGTGACAGACGCAAGCCTAAGCCCCTAAGCTCTACCCTACCCAAAGGCCCCCATCGTAGGTCCTTTTTGGGGTTCATACTTGGAATCGGAACTACTATGGCCTATGGGTAAACCCCAAACCCTAAGCCCTAAACCAAGAGACCAAGGTTTCGGAGGAGGGCGAAGGGCTGGCCCATCTCGGTTTCCAGGAGTACCCTGGGCTGAGTCCATGTGCCTCGCACGTGACAAAAGCTTTGCTATTCAGTGCGTGGGTTGAAGACCCTAAAGCCTAAACCCTCAACCCTGAAGGTGATGTTGCGAGGTGTTAAGGCTGGGTTGAGGGTTTGTCAAATCCTCGGGTCGGAATCATGGAAGCAATACTCCATACTTCTGTGAAAATAGACCCCAAAACCCTATTCGAAGTATTAAGAACCTAAACCCTAAACTCTAAACCCTACACCCCTAAACCCTGTACTAGGGAGGCTGACAGTTTGGAGTTTTCGCAGCTCCGAAGGTTCGGGTTTGTTGGAGTCGAGGGCTTTAGGGGATGTGAAGCGGCTTTATAGGGTCATGGGACTTAGCAACTAGGATTGTAAATAAGGTAACCCAGGTTACTATAGCTATAGGTGTTTTCAGCCCCCACTTAGCCCTAAACCCTAAACCCTAAATCCGAAACCCCTAAACCCTAAACTCATATAACTTATGACCTTGCTCCCTAAGGCCTGGTCCGAGGAGTCAAAGGCTCAAGGGACAAAAGGAGGGACCCTTAAAGGGAATTTTGGGGTTATATCGGGGCTTTATGAGACTATATAAGGGGTATATAAGGGTTATAGCGGGTATTTATGAGACTATATAAGGGGTATATAGGGGTTATAGCGGGTATTTATGAGACTATATAAGGGGTATATAAGGGTTATAGCGGGTATTTGGAGAAGGGGTCCCTTCTAAGGGTATCTCCTATTCTCCCTTAAAAGGCATCGCGTTAACAAGCCCTACACCCGAAATGCCACCAAAAGCACTTAAGCCGGACAGATGAGTACTGCGAAGCCAAGGTTTGCGCATCTGCGGAGTTTGTTGAAGGCACGTTTTGCTGAAGCGCAGCCCATCAGACATCGCACTCTTCGTTTGGGCACGGCCTCCTGCTTTGACATCGTTGATGGTTTTATGGGCTCGATCAAGGCGAGACATTTAAAGGAGTTGAGGGGAGTAGTTGATTTAGAGGACCATGTTCTTGTTTGGCCTTGGGTTCCCAACATGTTCCCCTACCCTAAACCCTAAACCCTAAACCCTCAATTCTGGAGGTGTGGAACCAAGAGTGTTGCATAAGCAGGCTGCTGACTATTCGACTTCCGGAAACCCAACCCCGCCCTGCCCCGAAGATGCTGGAAACCTAAACCCTACCTTAAGAACCCAAATCCCACCTTTTTGTAGGTTCTTATTATAAACCCTAATATGGGATTTATAAGGACCCTACAAAAAAGTAGGTTTTGGGTTCTTAAGGTACACCCTAAGCCTTAAGCTACTTGGAGGTTCATGGGTAGTTATAAGTAGGGTTATAAGTAGGGTAACTATAATTAAAACCAACCCCACTTATAACTACCCATGAACCTCCAAACCCTAAACCCTAAACCCTAACCCTAAACCCTAAACCCTAAACCCTAGAAGAAGTCAGAACCCAGGATTGCTCTGGTGCCGAGGCACCTTGGTTTGCTCTGCAGCGTATCCTTAAAGAGTTGCCAGGCCACATCTGCTCCTTCCTATAGTCTCCATTGTAGTTCCTTTTTTTGGTTTAACCAATTATATATTAAGGATTTTTTAAAGGTATCCCCAAAAAGGAACTACAATGGAGACTACAGGTTTGTTTTTAGGGTTTATTACTCTTTAGGGCTTCGGATGACTGGGTGACCCGGAAGCGGCAATCGAGGTTGGAGCATCAGTTGGGCTGGAAGCTGCAGCTGGAGCACCTGTTTGCTTGCGACATCGAGCCTGTGTCGCAGGTCTTCGTTGCCCAGAACACGCGTCCGCATGCTCTTTTCGAGAACCTGCGGAATCGCGGTGAGATGGGGCACTGCCTCATTGCAGATGCACCGGTTGTGGTGCCCAACGATCTGGACATCTATGTTGCTGGCTTCCCATGCAAAGACTTTTCGCTACTCAACTCCAATCGCCCATGTTTGGAAGGTCCCCATGCCGATACCTTCCATGGCGTGGTGAACTACATCCGGCAGCACGAGCCGGCAACTTACGTCCTTGAGAATGTAGTCGGTCTACTGTCCAGGAACAACGGAGATCATGCTCCAATCTCTGACGTCATGGGCATCCTGCGCGCTGTGCCCCACTACGTGGTCCGCTATTGGCGTGTCAATTCCCTGGACTACCACCTGCCTCAGAACCGGGCGCGGGTGTACATTGTGGGTATTCATACAGGACGGGCCACATTGCACCGACCATTGGCCAGGTGGGACCAGCTGGTCCGCAAACTGGAGGAGCAAGGACATGTGGAGGTGCAAGATTTCATGCTGGCTGCCTCTGAGGAAGAGGTCTCTTCGGCAAGGGGACGTCTTGAAGCAAGAGGTCCGCCGGAACTCTACCGGGGCAGATGGGCAGCGGCAAACGCTCAGCTTCGCCGGCAGCTGGGCTTTGAGAACACGGCGAAGCCTTTGGTTCCCAAAGGCAGCGGCTGGTCGCGATATATCAGTGCTCGTCAGCAGGACGTCCTAGAGATCCAAGCTGCCCGAATTTTCCATAGCTGGAAGAACAGGAGAAGGGCAACCTCCTCCAGGCCCTCTCAAGAAGAGCTGCAGGACGCGCAAGATCCTGCGAACTCCAAGTTCTGCGCAGAGATTTCCAGAAGCGCTGCGTATGGCTCCTGTAGATGGCGGTCGACTCCTTGCCTCACTCCAGGAAGCCGGGTCTGGGTGTTCAATCGACAGAGGTGGCTGCTGGGTCTAGCGGCTTGCCTGAATCCTAGCCTAGACTAATATAGGGGCCTTAACAAGAAACAAGGGGGGCTCCTTATTCTAATTATCATATAATGTACCCCGATACCTTATTCTAATTATTATAAGGCCCCTACATTAGACCACTAAGGTACCCTGGCGTTTGAAAAAGAGTACACGCAAACCCACGACCTTCCCTAAACCCTAAACCCCAAACTCCTGTGCTCAACCCTCAACCCGAACTGAAACTCCCGCAAAGCTGAGCAAGACCAGCAGAAAATTAGCCCCTGTGGCACGTCG